TCAAACAATCGTAACCCAGTGAAATATCAAGACCCTTTCAGTCAACGGCATAACGAGGCGCTCTCTTCGAAGCGGAAATCGGCTTGTTTCTTCTCAGAATCATAATTTCTCAACTGGGTTTTCTTCAATCGGTTTGATTTGGGGTTTGTTTCATCCAAATGAACTCCCGATTTGGGTTTTTGTTATTGGTTTTGATATCTGTTCTTCTGGGTGCTGATTCAAAGTGCCCTAGAACATGCGATGTAGCTTTGGGTTCGTATTTAGTATGGCAGGGAAGCAATTTGAGTTTGATATCCAATCTGTTCGGCGTGCAATCCCCTGATACCATTGTGAGCTACAACAGAGATAAAGTTCCCAACAAAGACACCATTACTAGCGGCGATAGGATCAACATTCCATTCTCCTGCGGCTGTATTAACGATGCTTTTCTGGGTCATATGTTTCAGTACAGGATTAACACTGGAGATAGCTACAATCAAATTGCGACCAAATTCTACGCGGGCTTGACTACGGTGGACATGTTACAGAGATTCAATAATTTTGATGTTAGTCGGCTTCCTATAGATGGAATTTTGAATGTAGTGGTGAACTGTTCTTGTGGGGATCCTGATGTTTCCAAGGATTATGGGTTGTTCATCACTTACCCACTTGGATCAAATGATAGTTGGGCTAATTTGGAACGAGATACAAATATCAGCTCGAATTTGCTGCAGCAGTACAATCAGGGTGTGAATTTCAGCGCAGGAAATTTGATCTTTATTCCAGGCAGAGGTGAGTTTCTTCCCCTTGTTTTCAGTATGATCCTGTTCGTCCAAGATCTTTTGCTGGGTAGAATCATGTAGTTTATGTGTTAGGAATCATGACTCTCCGCAATGATATAATATTGTCCACTTAGAGCTGGCTTTGCTTTCGGTTTTCCCAAAAGGCTTCATACCAATGGAGATATATTCCTTACCTGTAAACCCATGATCATTCCTTAAACTAGACAACATGGGACTCCCTCCCAACGATTCTCAACAATCCTCCCCTTGAACAAAGTACATCATAGAGACTCCCCCAAGGCCTATGGAACCCTCGAACAGCCTCCTCTTAATCGAGGCTCGACTCCTTCTCGGGAGTCTTCGATCTTCGAACAAAGTACACCCTTTGTTTGACACTTGAGTCTTTTGTTTACTACACCTTCAAGGCTCACAATTCTTTGTTCGACATTTGAGGATCCTGTTGACATGGCTAAGTTTAGGGCATGACTCTAATACCATATTAGGAATCACGACTCTCCATAATGATATGATATTGTCCACTTTGAGCCTAAGCTCTCGAGGCTTTGCTTTTGGTTTTCCTAGAAGGTCTCGTACCAATGGAGATGTATTCCTTACTTATAAACCCATGATCATTCCCTAAATTAGTCTTTGACTCCCTGGCTATGTTTGATAACTTGTGTGACAGTATTTTCTTGTTTGCAGATCAAAGTGGCAGCTACCCACCTCTGAACATAAGGTAGTTTCATTATGTTTGTGTTCCTTTTGAGTTAGATATGTGCAACTTTTCTGGTTTCTCAACAGCCCTTTTCTTAATCTTTTGTTCTCTGCAGCACAGGTGCTTTGTCTTTCTTAGATGGGCTTGAAATGATTGTCTTGAGATTGAGGGAAAGAAGCCATTGATGGCCATGTCTGAGTTATTAGAATTGGAACTTGAAGCTCCTTCAATCTTATTGTTCTCTGTTTGTATATGATCAGGACTTGCAGGTGGAGCCATTGCTGGCTTAGTTATTGGTGTAGTTCTTGGGGTCTTACTTGTAGCAGGCGTCGTTTACATCGTCGTTCGAAGGGGGAAGTCGAAAAGGTCTACATTGCTGGTGTCCTCCCAAGATTTATCTTCTCAAGATGGGCATGGTACTCTTTTAACTTTCAAATGTCGTTTTAAAACGGTACGACTGATGATTTATAACTATCGTTTTATAAATCCACTGTTGTATTAGGTCTCGTGACGGGAAGTTCCATGGATAAGTCTACTGAATCAAATGGTCGAGGTGGTGGTATAGCTGCAGTCACAAATATTACTGTGGAAAAATCAGTGGAATTCTCATACGAAGAGCTTGCGAAGGCGACCGATAACTTTAGTTTGGCGAACAAAATCGGTGAAGGTGGTTTTGGATCGGTTTACTATGCAGAACTCAGAGGAGAGGTTTGTTGGTTTATCCCAGTTCATACTAAATTGGCTATGGCTCATAAGTTTAAGTTTCCATTCAAATTCTACTATGGAAGTGCTGGTAGTTTTATAGTTGGTTTTGTAGCTTAAAGATAGCTCAATCTGTTGAGTGATGCTGAAATTTCGCACCGTGTTGTGTACTTCCCGTAGTCTTTAACATCTTCGGTGCTCTACCTTTGAGTTCTATAACTAAGTTGTATGTCTAATGTGCGATCCCACATTGGTTGGGGAGGAGAATGAAACATTCTTTATGGGTGTGGAAGCCTCTCCCTAGTAGATGCGTTTTAAAAACCTTGAGGGGAACCTCCAAAGAGGACAATATCTGCTAGCGGTGAGCTTGGGCTATTACTAGGCGATGTGCCAGTAAGGAGGCTAAGCCCTGAAAGGGGTGGAAATGAGGCGGTGTGGGGAGGTGGATTGAGGGGTCCCACATTGATTGGAGAAAGGAAAGAGTGTCAATGAGGACGTTGGGCCCTGAAGAGGGGTGGATTGTGAGATCCCACATCGGTTGGAGAGGAGAACGAAACATTGTTTATAAGGGTGTGGAAACCTCTCCCTAGTAGACATGTTTTAAAACCTCGAGGAGAAGCCCGAAAGGAAAAATCCAAAGAGGACAATATCTGCTAGCAGTGGGCTTGGACTATTACATCTAATATGCTTCGTTCGTTCTTATTACATTCTCATTTCAAACCCAACCTTTCATCCCTTCACCAATTTTTGTACAGAAAGCAGCAATAAAGAAGATGGATATGGAAGCTACAAGGGAGTTCCTCGCCGAAATTAAAGTTCTAACACGCGTTCACCACTTGAACCTGGTACGTTACTACCTACTTCTAGACTTACATGTTTTCGTAAGAACGATGATACAAAATTTATCAGAATGTGTGTCACATATTAAACTCGAACTCGTAAAACAGGGAAGCCCTCCACGAAATGATCCACCTTTTCTTGTTTACATGATCATTCTTAATCTCAAGTTTCATAAAATGCAGGTGCGTTTGATAGGATATTGTGTTGAGAATTCTCTATTCCTAGTCTATGAGTTCATTGAGAATGGCAATTTAGGCCAACATTTACGTGGCACTGGTGAGTTCACGTGAAAATGGAGAGAAAACTTCACTTTCACTGTGCTGCTTTTGGAGAATTTGATATAACTGGTCACGTTTTCAGGTCGGGATCCGTTGCCCTGGCATACTAGGGTCCAAGTCGCGCTTGATTCAGCTCGAGGTCTTGAGTATATCCATGAGCACACCGTGCCCGTTTATATTCATCGTGATATCAAATCAGCCAATATATTGATTGACAAGAACTTTCATGGAAAGGTAGCTCTCAAGTAATGTAATGTTGAACTGTTTAAACCACCACGGGTTTGCATCTCTTACTCGAAACATATTTTATGCAGGTTGCGGATTTCGGGTTAACCAAGTTGACTGAAGTTGGTAATTCGTCTCTTCCCACTCGTCTTGTGGGCACATTTGGATATATGCCACCGGAGTAAGATGACCTTTTTATGCCTCAGTTTTTAGTTGGAGCGTAACAGTCCAAACCCACTGCTAGCAAATATTGTTCTCTTTGGGCTTTTTTCCTTCCAGGCTTCCTCTCAGGGTTTTAAAACACGTCAACTAGGGAGAGATTTTCACATCTTTATAAAGAATGTTTCGTTACCCTCTCCAACCAATGTGGGATCTCACAATCCACCTCCTTTGGGGCCCAACATCCTCACTGGCACATTACTTGGTGTCTGGCTATGATACCATTTGTAATAGTTCAAGTCCACCGCTAGTAATATTATCCTCTTTGGGCTTTCACTTCCAGGCTTTCCCTCAAGGTTTTAAAACGCGTCCACTAGGGAGAGGTTTCCACAATGTTTCGTTCCCCTCTCCAACCAATATGGGATCTCACATTGATTGTATCTTATTCGTTGATCATTGGTTGGAAGTTTTAGAATCGAGTTTCTAGGTGTTCATCACTCAGTAGTTATTTTCAGCTGGTTCAATCAGCTCCTACTTATAGATTCTGGCTAGTTTTATGTCTTATAACGCTTTGATTGATATCACCTACAGATATGCACAATATGGTGACGTTTCTCCAAAGATCGACGTATATGCTTTTGGTGTCGTTCTTTACGAGCTTATTTCAGCCAAGGAAGCTGTGGTTAAGACAAACAGAGCCAGCGCGATTAACGAGTCAAAAGGCCTCGTCGCTTTGGTGGATACTCTAACCAATTTTTCGTTCTCACTCTCAGAATCCCTTAGCATTACTTATGATGATCCTGCATTTTGCAGTTTGAAGATGTACTGAATCAACCCGACGCAAAGGAGAACCTACACAAACTAGTCGACCCAAGACTCAAAGAGAACTACCCGCTCGATTCGGTTTTCAAGGTAAATGTGACACACCTTTCTGCCATTGCTTCTCGTAAACTGATGCTTGATGTGTGATTGTGAGAATATGGATTTGTTTTGGTTGCAGATGGCTCAACTTGCCAGAGCATGTACACATGAAAATCCACAGCTACGCCCAAGCATGAGATCCATTGTGGTTGCTCTCATGACACTTTCTTCCGCAACAGAAGATTGGGATGTTGGCTCGTTCTACGAAAACCAAGCCCTCGTCAACTTAATGTCGGGAAGGTAGACTCGAGCAGCATAATCATCGCTCGATTCCCACATCTCATGGAAGCCTGTGTAACCTTATAACTTTCTTATTTGATCTCTTTCTGGACAAACATATATGTAAATTCATGTAGTTGAGAATTATGGATTGCCTATGAAAAGGTGCAACAACGTGTCATGTTCTTGAACTTTCGATTTTGTTTCGAACGAGGCCATTAGGCCACAAAGAAGATAACAAATGAGAGTAACATAACTTCATCAATACATTAGTTGCTTTCAACTAATGAACGTTTTCATAGGCTTAACTAAACGGTAATTGACATTTCGATTCTCTAAAGATACCTGAAATAGTTCATTCCGATCTATTCGAGGATGTCGAGTGAAATTTAAGTTACTACCAAAAAATTATATATATATATGAAACGAAAGGCGAGGACGGGAGGAGGTGTTACTCTGCTTGGATGCTGTTTTATGCAGTTTGAATATTTCCTTGTTTTTGAATACGAGACTTAGCAGCCCCCTCTTTCCAGCCCCTTTGGCGAGCCCTTTGCTCCCATGTTGCTGTTAGTCTCTTCTGAGCAGCTAATACTGCTTCAGCTTTCTCTCTTGCTTCTTCACATGTTTCCATCCCAGAATTGCACTTGTCTGCTTCTTTTTGATACTGAGATGTCATCTTCTTCGCCTCGAGCAGAGCCATATCAGCACGGCGATGACTTTCCGAGGCTTCGGCTTCCTTTAACTTCAGCTCCTCTAACAATAGGTCTGCGAAGTTCTTCTCTGTGTCTTGACTCACTTCTGGATCATGCTTAACACAATCTACAAAATGTACGAGTATTTACAGTTCGTTGGAAGAAGTATGGAAGTCGAAAGAAGAAAAATCTAAACCACACCTAAATATTGGATCGTTACTCGTGTTCATCATGATTATTGACCAAACTGAAGTGTCCGTGCTTCTTACAAGCTACTCAAGTTCATCATGGTTATTAACCAAACTTAAGTGTCCGTGCTTCTTTCGAGCTACTCAAGTTCATCGTGATTATTAACCAAACTAAAGTGTCCGTGCTTCTTACGAGCTACTCAAGTTCATCATGATTATGGCCTCACATTTACCATAGGACACTATTTCTAGAGGCACTTGTGAATCTCGACTTTAAAACGTATTAAGAAAGAAATTGATAGATCATTCATGCTCCTTTATCCATTCATGTTGCTACTTCATTTCATGCCTCACCCTTCAACTCAAGAGTTACCGTAACGGCCCAAGCCCACCGCTAGCCGATATTGTCCTCTTTGGGCTTTCCCTTCTGAGCTTCCCCTCAAGCTTTTAAAACGTGTCTGCTAGGGAGAAGTTTCCACACCCTTAAAAAAGAATGTTTCGTTTCCTTCTCTAATCAATGTGGACTCTCACAATCCACTCTCTTCAGGACCTAGCGTCCTCCAACCGATGTGGGATCTCACAGTTACAGCCTAAGAAAAACTCAAGGCGAGCCTACCTCGAAAGGCATTTTTACTGAAAATATTGAAGAACCTATAAATGGAGGAAACATCATCCAATGGCTCTCTTAGAACAATGCAATCTAGTTCATGATCAGTAGAAGAGTTCATATATTGAGATCTTTTACATTGTTTCAATAGTCATGAGGAAGCAGAATCATTATAATCACTTGAGAAAGAAAGTAAAACTAACCTGCAAAGGTAGAGTTCCTCAATTCTGCAGATAAACATAATCAGATAAACAATTAGACCACAATCCATAAACAGAAACCATTTCAAAATTCATAAACCCTAGAATCACATAAAACCGACATTATAATCAGAATCAAAGAACAGGGAACCACAAGAAAACCCCCAAAACACGAGATCTAAGCAAGCGAATCACAAAACTAACAAATCTCCGCCGAAATCAGATGAAACCCAGATGAGATCTAATCGGATCTGAGAATTGGAACGAACAAATTTTGAAGTTACCTTCGGGAATTGAGATGACGGGCTGAGAAGGGCAGTCGCAGAAGCAAGGAGGGCAAGAGGAAGAAGAAGATGAGCGGCTAACGACGGCGAAACCTTCCTTGACATGCCAGTAGAGAGGAGGGCCGAGAATGTAGCCGGCGATAGAGAGGGCGATCAAAGCCAATCCAAGCTTGATGAGCGAGGGATCGCAAGAACGCGCCTGAATTGCCATCGGAGAAAGTGGAAAGGATTTACTGAGAGTGAATAGCGGAATAAATAAACTGGTGATTGGAACGAATCTCTTAATACAAACAAAGAAAAGAATCAGACTTTTAATGAGTATCCAAATCTAACCCCCTCTTCTCAAATTTATTGAAAAAGATCTCTTTTTTTATCTTAGAACAGCTGGACAATGGTTTATAATATCGTGAACTCATTAGTGTTTTTTAATATTTATTCACAAAAGAAAAATATAGATATAATAACAAAATTTAACTTTGAAAAAAAAAAAACAAATTCAATCTTAATTCAAGAGTTGTATTGTGTGCATTATTTGTCGATCCTAAACTTCTCAAGTTTTAGCTTTTCGTTTTCGATTTGGCTTGGCTCCCCACCGCTAGTATTCTATATGTGATGATTTCATGAAGTTGTAGAGATGATTGATTACCTTTCTTGTGGTTGGCTCGGGTTGGCCTCGACCTTACCGCGGTGTGAATCCCTTTGTCAATGTCAAACTTCTTAAGTTTTAGCTTTCATTTTCAATTCGGCTCCCCACCACTTGTCTTCTACATGTGATGATTTGATGAGGTTGTGGAGATGCTTGATTACCTTTAGGCTCGGGTTGACCTCGACCTTATCACGGTTTGAATCTCTTCATCGAAGCCAAACTTCTCAAGCTTTAGCTTTTCGTTTTCGATTCGGCTCCCAACCACTTGTCTTCTACATGTGATGATTTCATGAGGTTGTAGAGATACTTGATTACCTTTGTTATGGTTGGCTCGAGTTGGCCTCGACCTTATCACAAGATTCTAAATGTTATTTATGGCTGTATAAATGGGATTGGGTGGTCTAAGGAAGAACAGCCAAAATCATCATTAAAGGAAGCAAAACAGATTGAACCGTGTGTAAAAGCTATCAACTTGGATTGGTTTTGTACATTTTACTATTTCATGCTGCAGATTCTCAAAGCATAGATAGTTAATGTACAAATACCTTGTAGTCTCAACGTCAAGAGGAGGACATTGGCACCAAATTTTGCATTGGATCTACTCTACTATAAGCTGGGGCCTTCTGAATCCGAGCGTCGGCCATTACTCGTCTTATAACTGCAGCATGACTCCACTTCTCCGCTCCGGCGTTAATACTCGCCAAAGTCACGTACCGTCCGCAATGTCGTGGCTGCATCACAAGCAATCTTCTTCCTACTTCATTTCCCAGTTCAGTGGCTCCATGAATGTTGCAAGCATTCAAAAGGGCTCCCAAAACAGTTGCATCAGGCTGAAATGGCATGGACTCGATGAATTCAGTTGCCTCTCTCAAAAGCCCTGCCTTCCCTAAGAGATCAACCATACAGACATAGTGCTCAGCAATTGGTACAATCGAGAAATCGTTCGACATCGATCGGAATAGCTCCAGCCCCGATTCGACGAGCTTGCCACGAGCACACGCTGTAAGAATCGCAACAAATGTAACCTCGTTAGGACGTATTCCTTCAGCCTTCATTGAAGCAAATAGCTCCAATGCTTCTCTTTCTCTGCCATTGGAGGATAAGGAAGAGATCATTGCATTCCAAGCGCAGAGCTCCCTGTTCTTCATTTGGTTAAAAACTGTTCTTGCACTTCCCAACAATCCCATTTTCCCATAAAAATCCACCAACGCAGTCCCTATAAACACACTCAGCTCACCCTCGTTTCTAATAATGTAAGCATGAATTTCTTTCCCACGACAGAGAACTCCCTCCGCAGCTAAATTAGCACAAGAAGAAAGCACACTCACATACGTAGCTTCATTTGGCTTCACTTCACCATTCATCATCATCATCTCAAAGAACCCAATCGCCTCAAGAAATCGCCCATTCCAACAGAACCCATGAACAATACTTGTCCAAGAAACCACATCACGCTTTTTCATGGACCTAAACTTCAAAACAGCAGAGCCCATGTCTCCATTTTTGACAAACGCATCAAGCAAAGAGTTAAACGCAACAATACAAGGGTCAGTAATTTCATCGAACACCTTACGTGCATTACCCAATTCCCGAAGCTCCGCGTAGAAGCTAACGAACGATGTCAGCACAAATGGATCGCTCACAACGCCAATCTTGACAGCATGTGCGTGGATCAATTTGCCCAGCAAAGGGGAAGAAATGGTGGCGGATTTGATGATTGAGGGGAAAGTATAAGCGTTGGGTTTGGTGCGGTGGGCAAGCATTTGGGTGTAGAGAATTAGCGTGGAGCAAGGCCGATTGAAGCTCAAATAGGCTCTGATCAGAGCGTTATAGAGAAGACTACTGATCCATTTCGGATTCGAGGGAGCTTGGGGTTTGTTCAAGAGATGATCATCGGTGATTAAAAGGGCGTGGATTTGTTGGATTTTAGCTGAGTTCTTGAGGAATCGTTGAAGAAGTTGCAGTAGCCACTCGGACGAGTAATGCATAACACTAAACAAGTGGAGGATTCTTCAAAGAACCCTCATGTCGCTGCCGAGAGTGGCATCGTCACCGCTAGGCGCTCACAATTGTCATGATCTTCCGGGGTGGACGTTAACGAAACAACGTCGTCGTTTAGTGACCCTTTTAACCTTTACTCGTTACTTCCCATTTCTGCCTCATCCGCCAAGCCGTTTGACTTCATATAAAAAGAAAAACCCATCGTTCAATTTCACGCTCTTCCTGTTCTTCTTCAGGGTCACTTCTCAAAGGCTCAACGATCTTCTTCACTGTTCGCAAGCTAAGCTCCTCAGTTTCTCCATGGCTGCTTCTGCCTCGTCCACTTTCAAGAAGATCCAAATTCAGAGGGAGGGCACTGTGAGTTCATTTCGTTTTTTGCTCTTTGATCTTCTCCCTCGGTTTGTTTTTCGCGTTTGATTTGATCTATTGCTAGTTTCTTTATCTGGTATGATTCTATTTGCTGTTTGGTCTTTGGAATAGATTTGTGGCACTGTTTTTGTTTAATGGGTCGGTTTGATTCTTGAGGATAGAGGGAGTTAACCCTATGGCCTGATAAACTCTAGATGATTTAGGGGTTTCTGGATAAAGATTATGGTCTGTGTTGTTGACTATGAATTAGCACTTTCTTTGAATCAAATGAGCATTGCCTTGCTCTGTTCCTTCCATGGAAAGGTGTTTCCATTAGAAATCATGAAATTCTAGGGTATGATATTGTTACTTTGAGCATAAACTCTAATGGCTTTGCTTTTGGTTTCTCCAAAATGGCTCATACCAATAGTGATGCATTCCTTGCCTATAAACCTATGTTTCCTTAATTAGCCAATATGGAACTCCTCTCCCAACAATCCTCAAAAGTTTAGCAGATCGAAATTTGAATCCATAAAACTTTTCACTAAATAATTTTGTAACACCCCAAGCTCACCGCTAGTCGATATTGTCCTTTTTGGACTTTCTCGAGGAGCTTTCCCTCTCGGGCTTTCCCTCAAGGTTTTTAAAATGCGTATGTTAGGGAGAGGTTTCCACACCCTTCTAAAGAATGCTTCGTTTTCCTCCCCAATCGATGTGGAATCTCACAATCCACCTCCTTTGTGCCTCCCTGTTGACACCCGTTCCCTTCTCTAATCGATGTCCCCCCCAATCCACCCACCTTTGGGCCCAATGTCCTTGCTAACACACCACCTCGTGTCCACCCCCCTTCGGGGTTCAGCCTCCTCGCTGGCATATTGCTTGATATCTGGCCCTGATACCATTTGTAACAGCTCAAGCCTACCACTAGCCGATTGTCCTCTTTGGGCTTTCCCTTTCGAGCTTCCCCTCAAAGTTTTTAAAACGCGTCTATTAGGAAGATGTTTCCACTCTTTTAAAGAACGATTCGTTCGTCCCAACTGACGTGGGATCTGACAGGTTTCGAATTTTGTTTTGTTTGGGCAGGAATTTGATGCTTATATTGTGGGGAGAGATGATGCCCCTGGAATTGTTGTGCTTCAAGAATGGTGGGGAGTGGATTATGAAGTCAAGAATCATGCTGTAAAGATCTCTGAGCTTGGTTCTGGTTTCAAAGCACTTATTCCCGAGTATGATGTCTTTTCTCCTTACGATGACAACGACGATGATGTCGATGATACAATTCGTTTACTTAGTTCTGCTGCATTCTACTGATGAACATTTCGTTTTGTGTAATTCTCATATCAGTTTGTATCGAGGTAAGGTTGGGTTAGATACCGCTGAGGCGCAACATCTGATGGATGGTCTTGATTGGCAAGGTGCTGTGAAGGATATACATGCTTCAGTCAACTGGCTCAAGGCTAATGGTTCCAAGAAGGTATTCTACATACTGTTTAGGATACTAATTGACTGTTGTCTAAAATCTTCATAATAAACTTGGATCATGCTAGGTTGGTGTAACTGGATACTGTATGGGGGGTGCTCTCTCCATTGCAAGTGCTGTGTTGATCCCTGAGGTTGATGCCGTTGTTTCATTCTATGGAGTCCCTTCACCAGAGCTTGCAGACCCTGCCCATGCTAAGGCACCCGTTCAAGCTCACTTCGGCGAGCTCGATTCCTTTGTCGGCTTCTCTGACTTGACGGTAGAACCTTTAATATTCCATTTTCTTTCTTCCATGTCATCTCTTAAGAAGTATCTCCATCATATGTTAAGGCATTGCAAGTGCTCGATGCATAATGTTGTTGATTGCTACAGTCTCGTTACCAAATGTGAGATCTCACATCGGTCGGAGAGGGGAACGAATCAATCCTTACAAGGGTGTGGAAACCTCTCCCTAGTAGACGCGTTTTAAAACCATGAGGATGACGGCGATACGTAAACGGGCCAAAGCGGACAATATCTGCTAGTGGTGGGCTTGAGCTGTTATTATTGGTATCAGAGCCAAACACCGGGTGGTGTTCCAGCGAGGATGCTGGGCCCCCAAGGGGGGTGAATTGTGAAATCCCACATCGGTTGGAGAGGGGAACGAAGCATTCCTTATAAGGGTGTGGAAACCTCTGTTAGCGGTGGGCTTGAGCTGATACAATCAGTGTTTGAAGTAAGGCATTGCAAGTGCTCGATACACAATGTTGTTGGTTGCTACGGTCTCGTTACCGAATCTCGCTATTCAAATCCACTTCGTGTTTTCTATTTGGTTAACATATGCTGACAAGAATATGTAGCGATCCGGTGTTTTACGTGATACAATTATACAAGATAAAGGAGTATAATGAGCTCGAGTTCTTTTCAGGCTGCCAAGAAACTGGAGGAAAAGCTAAAAGAATCAGGAGTTCCACATGAGGTGCATATCTATAAAGGAAGTGGACATGCTTTCATGAACCGATCCGAAGAAGGTGTGAAGAGGAGGAAGAACATGGGAATGCTCGACGAGGACGATAACGCAGTCGAACTGGCATGGTCTCGTTTCCAGTCATGGATGTCGCAATACCTCTCAGCTTAAACTGGTTCGTTTTCGGTTCAATTCGCCCTTTTATCTTAATTAGCTTCCTAGTTCATGGCTCATTACATAAGCTTGTTTGCATTCCTGGGCACTGTTTGTTAAACTGGAATCCAACTTCTGAATTGTGTTGCTTTGTGGAGTATGCTTGTTGAAAGTTCATGAATAGAACAATATGGTGTTTGAATTATGAACTCCTATAGGTCCCGAACCGTTCGTTTGTAATAATTTTGTCTCTAAACTTTAAAGTATTATCATTTAGTGCTTAGACTTTAACACGTAACCATTAATCTATCTACTTCAAAATTTGTAACAATTTAATTCTGGTCGAGAAAACACTTAGCTGCCCAAAAAAGGGTTTTGCTCTCGGCCAATTATCGGGTTGTTTTTCGTCAGGGTATCATTGGCAGCTTTCTGTCCGTATTTTAGGGTAGTTCCAAAAAGCTACTCTCTCTTCAATCCCCTAATATCTCCGTAGGAAAGCGTACTAGGAGCTTGTTGCATTGTATATATGAGCTTCAAACCGAAATCCCAATTGAGTCATTGAAAGCATCTATAGAAAGCTAAGTCGCGGTCACTATTGCTCGCCATTAAGTTCAACTCTTTCATAGCCACTCGTAAACATACCCTTATAATTTATTTAGCTATATGTTGTGAATTTATTAAATAAATAGTTTTATTATACCAAGGTATTATCTAACCATATTAAATTTAAAAATAAAGAAAAAATAATTATATTAAAAACTTAGTCAACATAGGGACCAACGCCAGTCAATAAAGTCAACCCTGTCTCCTTCTGTCCACCTCATCTGAACCCATTTCTCACTCTGACTTGGTAAACCAAATTATTATTTTATTTTCTTAATTATTATTTTTCAACCTAAAAAAAAATCTAACTAAATAATTAGTAGGATTTAAATTGGGTTAAATTTAAAAAAAATTAAAAATACAAATTGATTCACGGGTTGATTTTTTTTTTTAGTCAGGCGAACCCGACTAACTCAATTTTCTTTTAAGATTATTATGAAGATTAATTTGACATTTGTTACGATGTTATTGATATATTATGACTTTAAATATTTAATATTTGAGTTTTATGAAATTATATTTATTAATATAATATGTATGGAGGATAGGAAGAATTTTTTGTATATAAACTTCAAGAAATATGTGAAAAAATATTATTGAAATGCTCATAAAATAAATTCAAGTAGTCATTAATATCACATTAAACAAAAATTAAATTGTATTTACATCCCGACTAATTACAATGAAATGCCTTATACAAGCTCAAAGGTACTAATCACCATCCGTCTCACGATTTTAAAACGTGTCAAGGAAAGGTCTCTACACCCTTATAAGGAATGTTAGCATTCCAAACCAATATGAGATCTCACAATCCACTCCCTTGGAACCCAGTGTCCTAGCACACCATTCGGACCTCTCCACACCCTTATAAAGAATATTCGTCTTTCCAACCAATGTGGTATCTCACAATCCACCTCCTTGGGACCCAGTGTCCTAGTACACCACCGGGAACTTGGCTCTGATAGCTCAAACCCACCGCTAGCAATATATTGTCTATTTTTGCCTATTACGTATTGTCGTGAACCTCACAGTTTTAAAACATGATGTTAGGAAGAGGTTTCCACACCCTTATAAGGAATGCTTTGTTCCGCTCTCCAATCAATATGATCGTACAGTTATACAATAACGTTGTTAGATGGATCGTTACGTCAAATTTAATATATATATATATATAAGAAGTAATTAAAAAAAAAAAAGGAAAGAAATTGAAATTATTGGAAAAAAAAGAGAGGATAAATGTAGTTTAAAGTAGTGTATGGTCTTGTTCGTCAAGTCTTACCCTCCAAAATTATAGCCGAGTCCATTGAAACGGTTTGAAAGAGGTGTGTGTTTAAGTGTTCAGAGATTTATGGCCAAAGGAAGTGGACTCTCCATTGATTCAGATCTATTCTCAATTCTCTCCCTCAAAACAACCACCATCTCTCCGCCATGGAAGCCGCCGCCCCTTCTCCTCCTCCTCCTCCTCCCCCCACCGCTACCTTCCACTTTCCGGTCAACCTCAACTCCACCCTCCACGAACCTCCTCCCTCTCCTCCCCCCTCT